CCCGGGGCCCACCCCCCTGAGACACCCCAACCCCTTGGTTGTCCCCCCTCCACCCCCACGTACCACCGTGACGGCGTCGTTTAGCAGGGACTCCCCGAAGACCAAGATGTGGAGCAGCTCGTTGATGTGGATCTCCTCAAAAACAGCCAGCACAGCCACCGGGTCCACGGCTGAGATGATGCTGCCAAACAGCAGGTTGGCCAAGAGGCCAATGTGGTTGAGGCCAGGGCCACCCAGCTGGCACACAGCATATTTCAAGCCACCCAAGAAGAAGGCGTTCCAGAGCGTCCCCACCACGGCGAAGATGAGGATGGTGCCCAAGTTCTCGGTGAATTGGCGTAAAGGGAGGAAGTAGCCAGCATCCAAGATGATGGGTGGGAGGAGGAAGAGGAAGAAGATGTCAAGAGGCCAATGTGGTTGAGGCCAGGGCCACCCAGCTGGCACACAGCATATTTCAAGCCACCCAAGAAGAAGGCGTTCCAGAGCGTCCCCACCACGGCGAAGATGAGGATGGTGCCCAAGTTCTCGGTGAATTGGCGTAAAGGGAGGAAGTAGCCAGCATCCAAGATGATGGGTGGGAGGAGGAAGAGGAAGAAGATGTCTGAATTGAGGATGGGAGGCTTCTCACCCACCCCTTTGATGAGCCCCCCGACCAGCAGCCCCACCACGATGAGCAGGCAGCTCTCGGGGACGATGTTGGACACGGAAGGGATCACGTGGAAGCCTGGGGAGGAGGAAGACAGAGTAAGCCATTAGCTGTGCAGCTGGTGGATGTTTTCTGCAGGAGGACACACCTGAGAGAGCCAGGGGGCAGTTCCCAGCCCTCCCTGCACTCCTCAGGAACATTTGCTCATTGTGTGCCTCAGTTTCCCCTCCTAACCCTCCTCTTCCCCACGCTCCCGAGCTGGGAAGTGGGAAGTGCAGCTTCCCCAGGCCCATGTATCACAGAATCATGGAAGGGTTTGGGTTGGAAGGAACTTAAGATCATCTAGTCCCAACCCCCCTGCATGGGCAGGGACACCTCCCACCAGCCCAGGTTGCTCCAAGCCCCATCCAACCTGCCCTTCAACACTGCCAGGGATGGGGCAGCCACAGCTTCCCTGGGCAGTCTATTCCAACACCCCAACTCTCCCAGCCTGTCTCCAGAGCAGAGCTGCTCCAGCCCTTGGACCATCTCTGTGACCTCCTCTGGACTCTCTCCAGTAGCTCCATGTCCTTCCTGTGCTGGGGGCTCCAGACCTGGACACAGCTCTCCAGGGGGTCTCCCCAGAGCAAAGGGGGAAAAACTCCCTCCCTGGACCTTCTGGCCACACTCCTTTGATGCAGCCCTGGCTACGGGTGACACAACATCCCTTGACCTCAGGCCAGAAGATAACAACACATCCCAGTCCACCAGGCACCAGCCACCCTCAGGGCACCCTTAGGGTGTCTCAGGGGACCCCCAGGCCCTGTGACAACCCCCTGCAGCACGGGCAGCTCTCTCAGCACGAGCTGTTGGTGGCTCCAGCCCCTCCCATGGCAGCTGCTCATCCCCGTGGGCGCTGGCAGTTCCCTCCCGTCAGACAGCGCCTGCCCACCCAGGCACAGCCTGTGCCAGGCACTGGCAGCAGCACCAGCACGTTGCCCATCCCTGGGTGTCCCTTATGCAGAGGACAGGGAGGGGACCTGGTGCTCAGCAGGTTGGGGGATGACACTGGAGCTTCAGGAACAAGCTGGGAGGTTTCCTAAGCCTGATTGCAGCAACTCCTACCTTCCCTGAGCTGCTCCAGGGGCACAGAGTGGGGCAGGACACATCCTTGGGGTGCTGGGCTATTCCTGGGGGTGCGAGGTATGAAGGAACAGGACCCTAAAGACAGATCCCTGAGCCAGCTGGGACCTGCTGGGGTGACCACCCCCCACCCCCAGCTCAGCAACATGGGCATCTCCCTGCCAGGTCGGGCAGGCAGCACGATGCCAACCGAAGCTTCAGCCAACACACCCACCCCCACAGAAGGATTTTGGGTTCCCTGGATCCTTTCCCGGGTTTTAGAATTATTATTTTGAAGCACAACACATTGTTCCTTGGCAAAGGAAGGGGTTTAAAGCAAGGAACCCTGCCTGGGCATCCCATGTTCCCACGTTCCTTCCGGCTGTGCCATCTTTTCATCATTTCACAACACATGAAAAAGAACCCACCCCTCTGGGATGAGCCACCACCCTGCTGGTGAGCTGAAACCCCCCTGTGCCCCCTCACCCAGCCTGCAGGGACCACATCTGTGCCCTGGTGCTGGCTCATCCTTCCTCCACCTGCGTGGCTGAGAGGAGAAGGCGCCGCACGAGCCCAGGCTCTGCTGGGAAAAGCAGTCACTTCCACAATCAGTCCCTAAGGATGGGCAGGGAGTCAGTTACCAGCCACGGGCACAGGTCCCCAAGGGCAGGATTAGACTTGAAATTGTTACCCGAGTTGTGGGTGCTGCCTCTGGTGTGGGTGAGCCCAGCACTGCTGAGGCTGGAGGACTCATCACACCCAAGGCCCATTCCAGCAGCACCTGGGTGGCTCCAGGTGCTGGAGGGATGGGGAAAGGAGCCTGGTTTGTATCTTGGCTTTGCCACAGCAGCACCAGCCTCTGAGCAAACCACCCCGTGGCCCCCAGGCACCGGGGGAAGCCAGGAGGAGATGGGAAGCATCCAGGTTTTCTCCCATTATCCATCCCAGGAACCCCCGGGACTGGATGCACTTCCTGATTTACCCCCACGGGAGGATTTACCCTCCCTGGAGCCCAGATGAGCTCTTGAGCATCCCAAGACAGCCATGGAATGGAGTTCCCCATCAGAGCAGAGGTGGAAAAAAGCTTCAAGAAGATTTCTGGTAGAAAGAAGCTGTGGCTGCCCCATCCCTGGCAGTGTTGAAGGGCAGGTTGGATGGGGCTTGGAGAAACCTGGGCTGGTGGGAGGTGTCCCTGTCCATGCAGGGGGTTGGATCTAGATGATGTCTAAATTCCCTTCCAACTCAAACCAGTCTGGGATTCTCTGATTCTATGACAATCCCTTTTCCTAGCCCAGCTCATGCAGACACTGGGAATAACTGGCCCTCCCAGCACAGAGGAAAACTGTCCATCTCAGCGTGCACCAGCCCTGGCTGGAACCAGGTTTAAAGCCACCCAAGCAGCAAGAAGCCAGCAGCAAAATCAGGTTTTGCTCACTAAGTATGTTCAATCATGAATAAAACACAAACACTGACAATTACTCAGCTCTCCCTCCTTCCCCACAGGCCCCAGGATCCCATTAAACTGGAACGTTCGCGTGCTGATGTGAATTCAGTGGTTTAGAGCCTTTTTGTAGGGCCCTAAAAATACCCTCACATGGGCTGCATGTTAATTATGCCTTTGATTTCACTGTATCTCAGCCATTTTTTTGCTCCCTGCTTTCCCTGCTCTGTATTTTTAGAGCACTCAAAAGCTCCTCAGCTCCAAACTGGTGCTGGGATCCTGCTGGGATCCTGCTCCCAGTGCTGGGCTGGCATCCTGCTTTGGGGTGGGGGGTGGGGATTAATGGGAAGAAATGTTCTCACCACGGGGGTAATGCCAGGCAGGGGTGAACCAGCCTGGGCCCAGCTTCATGCCTGGATTTCTCTCCCAGAGGATGAGGGAGGCTGTGGGTAAAATCATGAATCAGGGAATGGTTTGGGTTGGAAGGGACCTTTGAGATCCTCTAGATCCAACCCCCTTTGGCGTGGGCAGGGACACCCCCCACCAGCCCAGGGTGCTCAGATCACAGGCTAAAGGCACATCCAGGGGAATAAGCCTTGACAAGAGTTTTAATAATAGTAATAATAAGCCTTAATAACCCCCAGCCTCCCTGGTCCTGCCTTGGCAAAGGGTGATTTGCAGAGCACTTGGCTGGGCCACCCACCTGCCCGGGTACCTCCCAGTGCCTCCTGCTGTCCCCAAACCTGCTGGCCCTGCTGCAAACTGGGACCGAATCCTCTGCCACCAGCACAGAGCTAGGAGGAGGAGTGAGGCACAGCAAGACCCAAAATGCTCCTTCATTTCTCCTCTGCAAAGTGCTTTGTGTGGCAGGAGAAGGGCAGGAGGCAGCACCTGGGAGGTCTCCCTGCCCAGGAGGGCTCTGGGTGCTTGGGAAGTGTTTCCTGATGGAGCCAGGAGCCCTGATGGAGGGGCAGGGATTGCAGCAGGGGTACCAGCCTCCCAGCAGGCTGCTGCCAGGACACCCTGCACAAACAAGTGTCACAGGACCAGAGGGGACAAGGCAGGGGGGTGTCCCCCACGGCTGCATCCCGAGGAGGAGCAGGGACCTGCAGGGACAGGCAGGTGAGCACACGCAGCAGCTTTTCCCCTCGCTGGGTTTTCTGCTGGTTTTCTTGAACCCCACCCAGAGGGAAGTTCCCCCAAACCCCGTTTTCCTGGTTTTCCACCCCCAAACCACCAGCAGGAGGCACCCACAGCCACCTGAGTTTCTTCCTCTGGAGGACAAACTCCATGGGAGCAGCTCCCCAACCAAGGGCATCAAACGGCACCAAAACCATGAGAAGCCAGAACAGCTGAACAAGCAGCAACCCTGGGAGCTTGAGCAAACAAGGAAAAGGAATCCCAGAAGTTCATTCAACTGGTTCCTTCACCCCATCAAGCATCCCAGCCTGTTTGTGGCCCAGCAAGGCCAACACTGGGACCACTCTCTGGTGGTCAGCTCTGCTGTGGGTTACAGCAGAAAGGAGCTGGGGACTCTCTTTCCAGTCTTAAATGCACTTGAAGGACAGAAGGAAATCACAGTCCATCAAATTGAAGAGTTTTGGGGCAAGGAAAACCTTTGCAAGGCCATGTCTGTGCTGTAAATGTTGCTCTGCAGCTCCTGAGCACCAACTGTCTCCACTTCAGTGCCAGGACCCTGCACGGGACCATGTCCATCCAGAAGCAGGGGACAAGACCTGGAATTTTCCTCCAGCACCAAGAACCACTGGGACCTGTTGGATTTTGCAGCCAGGCAGGTGATTTTTTTCCCCTCAGGGCTTTTATTTTAGAGGCTGGGGAAGCTGAACAAAGATGTCTGAGCCCAACAAACCACCTCCAGCCTTGGCAAGGACCTGTTCTCAGCCCAGCAAACACAAGGTCTCTCATTTCAGCTGCTAAAGGTCCATCCCCATCCCACCAAGGGGGAGCTGGGCAGCTTTTCCCAAGCCCCTGGCTGCTGGTGGCTGCAGTGCCACCTAAATATTGACTCCCAACCAGTTTGGGAAAGATTCTGACCTACATGTGGGGGTTTTTTTTCCCTCTCTGGGCTGTATGTGGGTTACTGCAGCCCCAGTGCAGGGACCTGGTATTATATAAGCTCCATCCAAAAGAGTCCGCTCCTTTGACTCAAAAACCCACCAGATCTGATCTACCTTCATCCTCAGCCTGAGCAGGAAGAGCCTGAAGGGATAGGGAGGGAAAGGAGAGGAGGGGAAGGATGCTGGGCACCCAACCCAGCTTCCCCATGCCAGGGGAAAGCTGCTGCCAAAACCAGCTGGTCCCACAGGAGGGTTTGCCTGAGGTGATGATGCTTCTTGCATGGTGGCTAAAAGAGGGTGATCTCTGTGCCCTGAGCTGCTCCCAGCAACCTGGAAACCTTCTCTCGAGGTGTGAAGGGGATGAGCTGCAGCTCCCAACCCCACAGCAGCCCTTGAGGAGGTTTTGATGCTGGGAACATACAGCAAAAGGGAGCAGGGGGCAACCCCCTGCAGAGTGACAGAACCTTGGAGTCATTCTGG